TAATCTTACGTCGTCTAAGGAATGAACGGTGGCAAAGTGCCAAAACTTGGACCGATAAAGTTGTCTTTGTCCAGTCCCTGTTGTTTCCGCAAATCTTTGGCTTCACTGTAGTTTTTCTGCTCTCATGTGAATGCAGATGAGGCTGCACATGGATTTGAAAGACCTTCGTATACTAGTCGGCAGGCACAATTGCTTCTGATGTTTGCAGAATGAAGTCGAGCAGAAACTGAATCTTGGAACATGTAAAACGGCGTGACGCAAGATTTAGCAATGAAACCTTGACAGAATCACCAAGGAGGGATTCAAGTATTATGTTATTTTATTTACCATTGTTTCGCTGATAGCCTTGTTTCTGTATGCAAGATTTTACGAAAAGCGTCGAAAGTAGTGGAGGGGAGCAACAGAAACATTAAATCAATATCTACGTAACTTTGAATAACTTTTTAATTTAAAGACGATTGTAAGTAAGTGCAAGCCCATTGAGTGAAGCTATTAGTAACCATGCGCGAGCTTATTGCCGAACTTTTGCGCTTAAATTGTATGTTGTCTGTTCGTTTGTGTAATAAACGCTCTGTACCCTAAACGTTAAATAAGTGTAATTCAGTCTTTTATAGTATTTGAAGGTGAACAACGCTAGGAGGATCATAAAATTCGTACAAAGTGCAATTTGTCCTGTCACTTCTTGTGTATGTAACTCTAGGAGTACCATAAATGTATTAGTGAATGTGATGTAGCCTGTCTTCTATCTTTCCTGTAAATTTAAATCAGAATTCTACATTGTGGCTTACCGCACCCACTTGTAGGCTACGATCCTTGGGCGCGTGTGGGGGTTCTGCCCACCCACATCAACACAAAGTCTTTCGCCTAGTTTATTATCAGAATTATACCTTACAAATACGCCTCTTATACCGTAATCAAATAAGTAATGATTAATTAGGGTATCAGCTAATGAGCCTCCAGTTTCCGCTACTAAGTCTTCACCCCATACTTAATAAAAGTAACTTTTGATTTAAAACCCTAAATTTTAAGTAGTGTTGTTGTATGCTTTGAAAAATTCGCCCATCGATCTCATATACTGTACTGTACCTCTGATCCCCATATTTAAAAGCAACATGAAAGGAACTAACCAACTGACAGGATAACTGTTTGTTTCTGTTGACAAACCTTTCACACGCTTGACGATCTGACACACAGTAAAGCTGTGTTACAAAACTCTAACGGCAACAGAGGATAAAAAATGGAAAAGCGAAATAAATTCTAAGAACATGTGACTCTAAAATCCTCATGCGACACTTCTAACAAGAGGCGTATCATTACGAAGATTATGTTACAGCACTTAAACACAACTAGAGTTGAGCAGTGTACAACATGTATTTGTACTTTTACATTCTTCTATTTGCACGTTAATATGGAGGATGGTATGAGTACGTTTGCGTCATGAACAAAGTGCCATCGTCGAAGTATTTCGGCGTGGTTCTCTAGAGAGTGAAAGAGAAGTGGAGTAGGGCGCGATAATATTCATCCTAGCCAATCCGGAGATAGCCTAATGTATATGTGCTCTCATCCATCGGAGGGACTGCTCTATGTGGAGAGTGTGGACATGACTGATTCATTATTAACTATTAAATTTAAAAAATAAAAGCACAAAAGTAAATCAAAACATCTGTAAAATAGGTGGGTTGGAAGTTAAAATACTTTATATGTGTATGGGGTGAAGTCCCGTTAAAGAAAAGTGAAAGCTCATGAGCGACTTCCTAAATTATGGTGCTTCACAAAATATAAGCTTGCGACTTCGCGCCCACCCATGCCCACCCACCAATTGTCGGTAGCATCCATGGCTAGAAATAACTATGGATGTGGGAGGTCGTGGGTGAGGGTAGGCATGTTTGGTAAAAACAAAAACCTTTGCTAATTGTTTTAAAATTAATAAATAAACAATGCCCGATTATGAAATCGACTTTTTGCCAATTATTATCTATTTCCATTTAATATTATAAATGAGAAAATGCGCTGCAACCAACCACACTATCTGTCGACCGCCAGTTACAGCGTAGCCCAAAAAAACTGAAGGAGACTTGGCACGAGTAAAAATAATAGACTGCCATCCAAAAAGTCATTCCTGAAGGACCACTCTTCCCGCGAAAGACTTTTTATATGCCTTGTATGAAACGCAATTAATTCTAGCATATTCTTTGGGATTTGCAGGCTTGCAATGCCCAATATAGGACGCCTCCATCCCCTTGTGTGGGCATTCTTTTGAAAGTGTAAAAGTGGCTGGGGGAAGTCAAGGTTAAGTGCAACTGCTGCTCAATTTCTTGTTACCACAAAAAGAAGGCGTGGACTTCCTATCTTTACGGCCTCCGTGTTACACTTCTGGTTTCTTGTACTTTCCCTGCTAACATCATGGCACAGACGTGCGCAGATACCCCCATTAAAGCGAAGTGATAAGGCTGAGCAGCTCGTCAGAAATTAGTCGAATTTTTTTTGGTGCATGCATTGTGTATGCAGATCTCTTTTCGTCTACATCATGACTAGCGAATTGGCCCTGGTACGGATTTTCCATCGCGTTTTGTTGTTTTCACCTGGCCCGGTCTGTAGGCTAGCGATTAAGGCTGCCACGTACTACCTTAACACACACCTGCAGGGACCTGCAACAAGGCGGTTTACCATCTTCTCTTGCGTGTAGTGAGGTTTTGGTGGGCGTCTTACACTGCCATACTGTTAGACGTAAGCTTGTATTAAGTGTAGCACGGACGCGGTGTTTCCTAGTCCTAGTCCTTCGTCACACTTGCTACAAAGCTTGCAAATCATGGAATGACTTCTATTGAAGAACTTAAACAGAAATTAAACTGTTATTGCTAAAAGACAAAAGAGTAGACGCGCGAGGGCTCTGATGAGACGCCGTCTTTACAGCGCACTCAAACTGAATATAAGCAAGCTGATGACGTGCTTTATTACATCATGTAATTGACGTCAAGTAGTGACGTCATCCGTGTGTGACGCACACTTTGTGGTAGGTACGCAGTTGCTGTACCCCGACCACTTGAAAGACCTAAGTGCGTATCACACTTAAAACCTTTCCCAGACTTTTCAGAGCCTTTTCAAGGAGAGTCTCGTGCAACGGTCTGACCCCGTTACAGTCACTCTAGATCGATAGAACCTGCTTCATGGAGCTTAGATAGTTGTTAGCCTTAAGGGTGTAGCTATTATGACTGTACGCAAGGTTGACTGTCGAACTTTTGATTCGTACTCATCTGTGTGTATCTGTGTGTAAAAAACGCGGCTAGGAGAACCCTACACGCACTAAGTGCGATCAAGCCTCTCTCTTTCTCACAGGTATACAGGTATGTTCAATATCACTCTTTGGCTACGTCACAATTATGGTGCACGCACGTGATTGACATAAAAATTGATCGACTGTGTATGTGATCGCATTAGCAAATGCTACGCGTATAACTGAAGACCGATCGCACTGTCCAAGTTCACAATACTGTTTTTAATACAGACATTTATAGCATCATGCTTATTCTTCAGTGTCTGAAATTGTCCAGTGCTTTACAATTTGATTCAGTTCTCCGAACTGAAGGCTAAGGCAGTCGAGCACTAGATGGTAAAATGCAAAGTGAATATATTTAGGTCCTTAGTTCACAAACTCTGTTGCTACTCTAAGCCTACAGGATTCTTCGACTACACGTTCCTCGTCGCTATATCGCGCATTACTAATCGTGTAGTCGCGCATTAGTAATCGCCACATCGCGCATTACTAATCGTCTAGTCGTACGTTTCTAATTCTGGTCGTGCGTTTCTGAATACCCAAACGTACCAAAAATGGGGGAAGTCACTGTCTGGCAGTACAGTGCTGGTGAACCCCAAACACCAGATCCCGAAGGCTTAACTTGTTGTTTGTACGCCCCCACCGGTATCGAACCAGTGACATTTGGGATAGTACTGCCATACCAAACCGGCTGAGCTACAGAACACATTTCTGTCAAATCATGCCGAGACGTCTCTTTTACAACACTCCCACTCGTCTTGGCAGATCGTGGCGCCTTGATGCCCAACATGGTCCGAAGTTTCTGGAACTGTACGACGGTGATCGGCTTGGTCATTATGTTGGCCTTCATGTCCTTGGTTGGGCAGTATTCTAGCACCACTTGTCCCTCAGCAACCTTTTCATGAACAAAATGGTAGCGAATGTCGATGTGCTTGGTGCGTTTGTGAAATTCTGGGTTCTTGGCCAATGCGATCGATCTTTGGTTGTCCTCGAAGATCTTGACAGCTTAATTAGTTGTCATCTTACCAAGTTCACACAGGAACACCCTCAACCAAACTGCTTCTTGTGTAGCCTCCGATAGCGCCATGTACTCTGCTTCCGTTTATGATAGTGCCAATGTTCGTTGCTTCTTGATCCTCCAGCTGATGCAACTGTTGTTCATCATGAAGGCGTAGCCACTTGTACTGCGCCTTGACTCTATGTCGCCGGCCCAGTCTGCATCCGAGTAGCCTTAAAGGCTGTCGTCTTCACTTGCTTGAAACTCAATTCCGTGTGTCCTGGTACTATTTACATACCGAAAAACCCTCTTGAGTGCTTGCTAGTGTGTTGGACACGGATTGGAGGCAAACTGGCTGAGCACTCCCACTGCAGCTGCAAGGTCGGGACGGGTGCCCACCATGAGGTACATGAGGCATCCTACGGCGTTCCGGTAGGGAAAATTTGCCATCGTTTCTTCATGCTTGCAACCTCCTTCGCACATGGCCTTGGTCAACTTCAGGCCTGGGTCTTGTGGCGACCTGACTGAATTGCTATTCAGCATTTCGAATTTCTCTAAAATGTCTTTCGCGAACTTGCTCTGCCGCAATGACAGTGTCCTTCCTGATTCGTCCCGCTCAATCTCAATAGCAAGAAATAATTTGAGCTTTCTCATGTCTGTCATTTCGAACCTCTCACTTAGTGCGCTTTTGGCTTCACGAAGGCTCTTGTTGCTGCTGCTGGCGATAATTTAATTATTGACGTAGAGCGCCACGAAGATCATGCGCTGCTCATCTCGCTTAATATAAATGCAGTAATCGGACTCGCATGTCTTGAATCTGATCTTGATCATGAACTCGTCGATGGTCTTGTTCCACATCCGCGGTGATAGTTTTAGTCCGTACAGTGACCGCTGTACTTTGCAAACGAAATGCTCGTGATCTTCGTCGATGTAGCCTTCCGGTTGCGCCATGTAGATGTCTTCATCCAGCTCGCCGTTTAGAACCGCGGTCTTGACATCCATCTGGTGCACATCAAGGTGGTACTTGGCTGCCAGACTGGGGATGACTTTAATCGAAGTGAACTTGGCAACCGGAGCAAATGTTTCCCCGTAGTCGATGCCAAACTTCTGTGAGAACCCCTTTGCAACAAGGCGCGCTTTAAAACGCTCGATCCCACCATCTTGATTCTCTTTGACGCGGAACACCCATCTGTATACGATAGTTTTCCGACCCTTAGGTAATTGCACCAACTGCCATGTCTTGTTCTTGCGGAGGGAGTCGATTTCGGAGTCGCACGCTTCCTTCCACTTGACCGCGTTTTTTGATTCCATCGCCGACTTAAACGTTGTCGGCATATCTCCCACTGAATTCACAAAGTAGGCTGTATCAAAGTCTTCCACGACTTGTGCCACCGCCGACATGTTTCTGAGCAAAATTCTTTGACTCGGCCTCTTGGGAACCGAAATCTCCACAGCTTGTTCCAACGAAGGGGTTCGCGTGTGGCGCTTACTGCCGAGCTCCGTGTCTTGGTCTTGCGCAGCGTCTTCTTCGTCAGGCTGAATTGGTACGGAAGAACATTCATGACCTGTACTCTCATCTTCTTGACTTTCAAAGACATCTTCTGCGTTTCTTCCGGTGCGTCTCCCACTGTCGAAGACGTCTTCCATGAATTTTGCGTCGCGACTTACTAAAACACGACGGCTATTGATCTCTTCAAAGCGTTACGCTTTCTCGTATTCAGATACCTCTATGAAGCGGCAAAAGACTGACTGCGAACTTTTGTTTCGGGACCGTCACGCATGCGTGACAACCGAACACCTTCAGATTTGAAAACAGCGGTTTCTTGCCGGTCCAGATTTGATGTGGCGGCTTGTCTTGAATTGTGGCACGTGTTGGACATCGATTTCGAAATAATGTAGCGGTTACAACCGCTTCACCCCAATATTTCTTGGACAATCTGGCATGCTCCAACATGCAGCGAGCGCATACCACCAATGTCCTGTTCATCCGTTCTGCCACTTTGTTGAGTTGAGGTGTGTAGGAAGGCGTGAACTTTTTTACAATGCCACGACTGCTGCACAGCTTAGTCATCTCATGCGAACTGTACTCTCCGCCGTTGTCACTGCGAAGTAGCTTGGCGCGTTGCCTGTCTGAGTCTCTGCAAATGCGACGAATCCGGCGAACCTATATACCACTTCATACTTATTTTTAAACAAGAACACCACACTAAAGTGTGAATACTCGTTTATGAACGTGACAAAGTTCCTGCTTCCACCGAACGAAGCTGTTTGCATAGGACCACAAACATCGCTGTGGATGACTTCTAGCATCTTCTTTGCACTCTCTGGGGACTTTGGCATAAAGCTCACTCGAGTTTGTTTGCCAAGAGCACACCCTTGACACATCTCCCACTGTTGCACAGACGTGATGTTGATGCCGATGCCGTAGCCCTTCTTGACAATGGAGTCTAGACCGTTATGGCCAATACAACCAAGTCGAAGATGCCAGAGGTACGACCGGTTGGTCCCATTTTATCGGTTGAACTTGACACATTTGCCTCATCTGGCATGAGCGGGGTCATGCATAACTTGAATAAGCCCTTTTCCTTGTGCGTACCCAACTGCCACTTCACACTCTTCGACTGAGCAAAGCACCCGTCACTGTCAAATGTGACGGGGACAATGTCCTTCGTAAAACGCCCCGTAGAGAACAGGTTGCGCGTAACTTGGGAAGGTGCCACACACCAGTAAGCACACCTTTCTTGACGCCGTGTTTTGTCCTCATTGACATGATGATGTCTCCCTTTCCCACTGCTTGTACCACGCCATCATCCGCCAAATGCACATCCACTGGCGAGATCTTCTGGTAGTTCTTAATGCACTCTTTTGAGTATGCAATGTGCTGAGTCGCACCTGAGTCGACCAGCCACTCTTCAATCAGCTTGATGTTATCTCCATCAACTGAAAACAGAAAGTCGCCAGAGTCTTCTTCAACCTGCGCGACGCTTGCTCTTTGCGACCTCTGCCGTTCCGCATTCTCGCGGATCCTCACTGGACACTTGGCAATCCAATGTCCTTGCTCGCCACAGTAGTGACATGCACTGGCCTTCTGCACAGGCCGTCCTCCTTTTCGCTTGCTGTGATTGATTGTCATAAACGCTTGACCTTGACCGTGCGCGGATCCGTCGACGCCGCCACCTTGTTCCTTGCGCTTCATGTCTTCATGCATTAGCCGAGACGTCACGATTTCCCACGACAGAGAGTCAGAACGAGACTCTAACGCCGTGATCAGAATTTGGTACGACTCGCTTAGACTACCAGAAGCGTGATCACCAAGTAAGCCTCGCTAACCGGAGCGCCAACCTCATCGAGCTGCTCCGTCAGAGTCTTGAGCTTGTTGATGTGCTCCAGCACATCATCACCTTCACCATCATCGTTGTGAAGAAGTGTCGACGAAGAAAGAGTCGGTTCGCCAAAATCTTCGTCTCGTAATGCCCTTCCAGGCTTGACCATGCATCGTACGCTCCAATCGATGAACGGACCAGCGGCAGCTGCGAATCTTTCATCGCGAGACAGATGATCGCCAGCGCCTTGCGTGACTTTCTCTTGAACTTCGATTGATCCATCACGTTGGTGCAAAGCACAAGCTTGACTTCTCCACATGTGACCTCCCACCGGTCGCGCTCTTCCAGGACCATCTGCATCTTGAACTTCCATGTGTGGAAGTTGGTCCCTTGGAACTTGTTAATGCGGGCAGTCGGCGTTGCGGCAGCGTCCATGGCGAAGGCGTAGTCGGAGTCTTTGTTGGAGGAAACGGGGCTTGGGCTCATAACCTGAAGGCTAAGGCAGTCGAGCACTAGATGGTAAAATGCAAAGTGAATATATTTAGGTCCTTAGTTCACAAACTCTGTTGCTACTCTAAGCCTACAGGATTCTTCGACTACACGTTCCTCATCGCTATATCGCGCATTACCAATCGTGTAGTCGCGCATTAGTAATCGCCACATCGCGCATTACTAATCGTCTAGTCGTACGTTTCTAATTCTGGTCGTGCGTTTCTGAATACCCAAACGTACCAAAAATGGGGGAAGTCACTGTCTGGCAGTACAGTGCTGGTGAACCCCAAACACCAGATCCCGAAGGCTTAACTTGTTGTTTGTACGCCCCCACCGGTATCGAACCAGTGACATTTAAGATAGTACTGCCATACCAAACCGGCTGAGCTACAGAACACATTTTTGTCAAATCAAGCCGAGACGTCTCTTTTACAACACGAACTAGATACATTTTATAAAAGGGCCAGTTCCAGAGCTTGCTCCTCTATCGTAAATGCTGGTAAAAATGGTAGAAAGCAAAAAATTGCTGGAAAGTCATGGCACTTTTAACATAATTTAACTTCCAGGCGTTGTAGGTGTCGGCTCCCAATTTGATACTCTGGCAACGCCTGATGTACCTTACACATCGTACTAAGTGCGATTTTGTCTGGTCTATCCTTTGGATGTGTCTACATGCGCACCTTACACGTCGTACTAAGTGCGATGTAACACTGATCCCCTCGTCACTGGTCTATAGGCATCATCGCGAGCCCGAAGGGTGAAGCTGTTAGTGACTGAGCGCAAAGGTACTTGAATACACAGAACTTAATTCCATTTTTAAGGACATAATAACTTATCTAAAGGGCGAGCTCTAGAGCTTGCTTCCCTATCTCCATATGCGATAAAAGGATAGCCTCAGCAGCATGATGTAGAATTGACAATAAAAGCAGGCGTATCTAGAACTTACCCGAATTTGCTTGTGTTACGGCTTTTGCATGTCACTGCTTCGGCCATAAAAATTAGCAGTATGTGGTTTGGAAATAAATCTGCTGGATGTGAAAACAAGATACGCGTAGAAGCTGTCGCCATAAGTAGAAGATAAAAGACAAGCATGCCGTCGTCTTGATTGAATCTTTAGAAGTCATGTGGTCGCTCATACAAAGACTTGTAAGATACTATCATGTACTACGTACGTCAACTGATCCATCAAAACGACACCACGAAGACACTTCCGCTTTTTTAAAGTGTGCGAGCTGACAAGCTTATTTTCAGTCTTACCATACGCTAGCGACCCTTATAAGCTAACGACGAGGCACTCACAGCCATAATGCTATTAATTGACCTCATTGACATCCATGAAGATTGCCACACAAACTCTGAGAGCGCCCTGATTTTGAACGTGTCAAATAATGGTCCCAATAAGGTCAACTCCAAGTTATTAGAATTTACCTGGATTACAAACACAAGAGATCCGGAATCGACCACAATCTGCGTGTTTTACTACGGCAACGCGAAAAAAACACCGGAACCTTAGTCTCGTTGTATTTTTACGGGAATGTGGTGGCAGAGGATATAAAAGCTCTGCGTCCACTGCCCTTTCCGGTGGTGCACGCAGCCAGCTATACTCACGTCTCGAATCGCTGCACCATTTCAGTTGGCAGGACAATATCACCAAGATCAGGACAGTCGTGTGTTTAGTGCAGGTAGCGGGAATCGGCGTGGTTCAAAAAAAAGATACAGCCGCTTTGACGAGAAAATACAGACGCAAGGCCTCATAGGGTCTTCGCTAGCAAGCTTACTTTGCAAAGGTGTGCTAAGTCAAGAAGTCAGGAACATGTGCCACTATCCAGCAGCCTTCGATTGCTACTTTTCGTGACAGCGCTTCACAATCTCCTTATCGGATCCAGCTAAAAGCTCTTTCCAGCATCGTCCTGTTTCTAGTTCTCCTTCATATCATCCTCCTCCTCTCATCCCGCCACGTCGTCGTCTTCCCTTCACGATGCTATCCCACTTCCTTCTTGCGGCTTCTTCCATTTCCTTCGCGGCGTCATCTTATCCTCCCTACACGCTGACTTTGCACCCTATTACATCACCATCTCTACCTCAAGCTCCCTTTGATTTCGTCCGATGGAAGTCCACGGTCTGCGTGTCCCAAAAACAACATCAACTTGTATGCTCGCGTTACATGGACTGGTCCACGTCTTCGGAGCACTGCGCTTGCAAGTCACGGTAAAGAGTCCTCAGCCGCGCCCGGTACCTGAAACCATCGACAGCTCCTGGACACAGGACACCTGCCAGCTTCAAGCTAACGACATCTTTAGAAAGATTTGGAGTCGCCACGACCGAGTGATACGTTAGGGACACTTGCTGTCTTGTGAAGAACAGAGTAGCAATAGCCTTGTACGTTCGTATGCTGCAGGCGCTGCATCTGATAGCGTTGTAAAGGTGTCAAGATAGAACGCATAGAAACAGCCATGACATAAATATGACCCTCTTCGCGACATGGAATAGCATGAATGATAGCGTGTCTCACGCGCAGAAAATTAACCTGGCGTGCAGAGCTATGAAAACAAGGTGGCTAACCTGGTACAATATGTAATGCCTCTTTACTCATCGAAAGTCGGGGGAGAGACACCAGCATGACATTGACGCCAAAGATAAACGTAGTGACACGTTTCAGGCCTTTACTGGAGACTAGTGCGCCAGCGACTTTCTCTACCTGGCTCTACTATTATTCCAGCAATGCAGTACATACCTAAGTATGATCTGCACACATCACGACACAAGTCTTCGTCTCAGGCGAACCCAATCGCGGTGAAAACGGCATAGAAAACGACAACGCGCTGGCTGTCGCGAACGAGATCGACCAAGTCTCAACATGATGGGCACTATAGAATCCTGGTGGGACCTACCGCACCAACCATACTCTTTTGTTTGCAACCTCTGGCCGCTTGTTTGTATCGTCGGACTGGAATGCTCGTGTGCAATGCGTCCTTGTTTTATTGTAATGCATTAACAACTCGAATCGCTTAGCGCAAGGAGAACTTGAACATGAACCGCTTGATCACGAGCAATCAATTTATACCGCGCTTTGACGGAAACAGCAGGCTCAACCCATACGGTCTGTTTCACGAAACGGTAAGCAGGCTGCAGCAGCTGCTAGACACGGGAGTAGAATGGAGGCTACTTGGCAGAGATCCTGCAAGCTCCAGCATAGTGCACTCGGCTGCCTCGACGGTAAGCGTGTCGTCGTGTTCTTTGCGCTGAGACAAAGTACACACTTGGAATCTCCTCACTTCTGCAGCCGCTCTATGCCGGCAGAGGCTCGCTTTGCACGGGCTGTTCGAGAGAAATGCTTTAACACGCGATGCTACTGAGATTGCAGCAAAGCCTTCCCGATGCTCGCTCACGCAGCTGTGCTGCTGTTTAGCAGGTATGGTCGATTCAATCAACGTATGAACGCGTCTTTGAGTGCAAATCCTGCTGAAGGTCGCGCTGGGTTATAGCTGACGCAAACAGTCACTTACCCATCATCGCAATGGCCGTCGAAATCAATCGGCCATTTCGTTGGCGCAGAGCCGTCGACTGCACATGTCTTCGAAGTGCAAGCTGCAACTCCCGACACCGGCTGCATGTTGATGGTCAACCTGCAACCCACGTCTCCCCGTCACCCTATGTTCGCCAATTACTACGGTAATTTAACCATACATCGCTTAGTAACTGGGTCGGACCGCGCGACGCAGGTTCAAGGAAATCAATCTACTATGGTACCGCCACATACTCGCAGCGTTTGCGCTAGATTCGACTGACCGTTCCGACGGCCCGGCCCGGTTTTGGCGAAGCGACGGTTTCACCACCCCGTCCGGCTGTTCCGCTCAGATGGCTTCCTTTGCGTGTGACACTTAAACCCCGCTTAAATCGATACTTCTCGGCGAAACTCGATTGAGCTTCCGGTGATGGGCAGCGATCCTACTCCTTGAAGTGGGTGCAGCTGCACCACCTTCTTTTGTCACGTCTGCAATTGTGTCCAGCGTCACCTTTCTGCATTGTACTCCACCGTGTTTTGTGTCCCTCTGGCCTGCACTACGAAGATCTAGTCAAACCATGGTGGCAGACGAAACAGACCAGGCCATCGGTTTGCACGGGGGGCGACATGTTTTTCTCTGGAGAGGAATCGACAGCCGGCAGACATAGAGCCGCCCCTCTTTTGACTTTGCCCTTGTCGCCTCATAGCTCTTTTTGCAACGACAACGAACAGCCCCATAGGAGGCCGGCAGAGAAAATCAGGCCGGGTGTCAACTCAAGTGAGACCGGCTCAGTACGGACGGGACTGTACACTTAGCGAAAACACAAGAGTGTGCAGGAGGACCCATTTCCTTCTTCACTTTGTCTTTGACTGCACCACGTCCACTTGCTACAATGGACGACCAGCAGACCAAGGTACTGCTCGACCGGTCCCTTTCTTCCTTCCCTCTCTCTCTCTCTCTCTCTCTCTCTCTCTCTCTCTCTCGCTCTTGCCCTAACTTGCAGCATAACTGAAGAGCTCTTTTGCTTTTATTGCCCTTCCCCCTATTGTTTACTTGCAATCTGATGACGGAACCTTTGCTGAACACCTTGCTAGATCTATGTGCCTGACGCTGACGTGAGCTGGGTGGAGGCTGTGATTACCAAGGGCCATATTGTGAACGAGGCAACGGTGGAGGTGATGATTGAGGGCGACTCGACCGAGGAGTGCACCGACCGGCAGCCTGAAGCCGGCTCGATCCGCCAAATCGACGTACGTTTGTTCGTCCATTTGGGCGTTCAATTGTGTCAACTTGGACCTCGTGTGTCTCGAAATGAGGCTCTTGTCTTACCTCGCATATGCTCTGCCTTTTTTTGTGATTGTTTGACGTGAGTATAGAAGTCGACCATGTTGTTGCAAAACGCGCTGGCGTCGGACGATGGCTGTCCTGATATGGTGAGCCTCAACTATCTCCACGAGCCTGCCATTCTGTTCAATCTCAAGCACCGGTTCTTCAAACGGATACCTTACACCTACACTGGTGCCATCTGTATTGCCGTGAACCCCGTACGTTCATGTTGTCCTTTGTTTTTGTTTGGAGTTGGAAAAGCTGTTGGATGTTGAAACTGATGCATGCGTATTTGTGTGCCTTCGGTATCTTGTCTCGTTTTGCAGTACTCGTGGCTTGATATCTATACAAAGGAGCTCCAGGAGCAATATCTGGATCGTGATCGAAGTGAACTGCCGCCTCATGTGTATGCCACGAGTGCAGGAGCGTTCCAGCACATGCGCGTGTTTGGCGAAAACCAGAGTATCTTGGTAAGTGGTGAGTCCGGAGCTGGTAAAACGGAGACAACCAAGATCTTGATGTCCCACTTGGCGTCGGCCGGCAGCCACTCGACGTCAGATGCTCGAGTCAAGGAGGCCGACATTATCGAGCGCGTGCTGGACGCCAACCCGCTTATGGAGTCTTTTGGTAATGCCAAGACATCGCGCAACGATAACTCGAGTCGATTCGGTAAATTTTCCGAGCTACAATTTAATACACTGGGACAGCTCATAGGTGCTCGCTCCCGGACGTATCTGCTGGAAAAGTCACGTGTGTCGCTGCAAGGATTGGGTGAGCGCAATTACCACATATTCTACCAGCTGCTGGCTGCTCCAGAAGATGTGACAACGGAAGTGATGGTCACGGGTATGCAGGCCAAGGATTTTCCCTTCATCAAGCCGCACGAGGAAGACTTGATTGACGTCAGTGTTGGATTGAAAGATGCCGAGCGTTTTCAGCAGACAGTGTCGTGTCTGGAGACCATGGGCGTGTCTAAGGAGGACCAGATGAGCATTTATAAGGTCGTAGCAGCTATTTTGCACCTGTCACGATTGCAGTTCGAGCAGACTCCAGGTAATGATGACGCATCTCAATTGATGGACACACCCGATAACCAGCAAGCAAGCAAGATGGTGTCGCAATTACTGGAGCTAGATGACGATCAGTTGCACACTGCCCTCTGCACGCGCGAGATGACGGCAGTCATGGAAACGTACGAGGTGCCGTTGAACGTTTCGCAAGCCGAGGGTGCGCGTACAGCACTTGGCGTTGCTCTGTACTCGCACATGTTCTCGTGGTTGATTCACCGCGTGAACATATCGACAAGTGCTCCGCACGCAGACGTGACGCACAAGATTTGTATTCTTGACATTTTCGGCTTTGAGATTTTCGAGAAGAATTCATTTGAGCAGTTGTGCATTAACTACGCAAACGAGAAGCTCCAGCAAAAGTTCACGCAGGATGTGTTCAAGTCTATTCAGCAGGAGTACGAAGAGGAGGGCATTCCGTGGACGCGCATTGAGTTTGCTGATAATGTGAACGTGCTGTCACTGCTCGAGGGTCGTTTTGGCGTGCTGTCGTTGCTGAATGAGGAGTGCATGCGCCCCAAAGGTAGCGACGCTGCGTTTGCGAACAAGCTTAAGGCGCACTACAGCGACAATGATCGCTTCGAGTGCCCGCGTTTCGCACGCGATGCTTTTGTGATCAAGCACTACGCCGGTCCCGTGCAGTACGATACGAGTGGTTTCTTGATCAAAAATACGGATGCACTGCAGAATGATCTAATTCTGCTTATCACGAAGTCGAAGGCACCGTTTCTGAAGAAGTTGTTCCCAGAGGAGCACGTGGGCGATGCAATGACCGGTTTGCCTGGTACAAATGCAGCTGCTGCTGCAAATGCATTGCGTGGACGTCCCGGTCTGAAGCGCAAGAATTCGATTGTCGCGGACACGGTTGGTACGCAATTCAAAAGCCAGCTGAATGGACTTATGGAGGATATTCGTCGCACGAACGTGCACTACATCCGGTGCATCAAACCCAATGGAAAGAAAAGCTCGCAGCTTTTTAACAAGCTGCGTGTGACAGAACAGCTGCAGTGTGCTGGTGTCGTGGAGGCTGTTCGTATCAGCCGCATGGCATACCCCAACCGTGTGTTGCAGACAATGTTTCTCGAACGTTTTCGCGGCGTAGCATCGACTGCGACAGTCGATGGCAAGCCCTCGACCCTTGCTGTGCTTACTGCCACTGTCGACGAGAACCCAACAGATGAGGCGAAGACGGCTGCCGCTGTCCATGAGTTGCTTGCAAACCACCTGATGCCAGGCAAGGAGAGTGAGTACCAGGTTGGCAAGACACGAGTGTTTTTTCGCCAAGGCGCACTTGAAGCTCTTGAAGAGCTGCGCACACGCAAATTTAATGCCGCTGCTGTGGTATTGCAGCGGTACGCCAAGAAGTGGATGGCGATGGCGATGTTCCAAAAAGTCAAAGAGGCAACCATCGTGGCGCAAAAGGTGTACCGAGGGCACCGAGCAGCTACGCTGTACAAGAAGCAGCGCAAGGCTGCTGTCACAGTGCAGAAGTGTGTGCGCAGGCATCGTGCACAGCAACTCCTGATTTGCATGCGCGAGAAATATCGTGCAACGCAGATCCAGAACGTTTGCAAGATGTTTGTTGTCCGTCGTAAGTATCTCGTCAAGACGAAGGCGATCCGTACGATGCAGAGCGTTGTGCGCATGTACTTGGCCGTCAAGGCATGCTCAGTGCTGCAGAAGCAGGCAAAGGAAGACGCAAAGCTAGAGAATCAGATCCAATTGCTGAAGAAGCGTCTGCAACAGGAACGTGAAGCACGCATCGAGCTTGAACAGCAGGCGCAACATGGCAGCCGTTCTTCCGTTCACATGCGTAGCGAGGAGGCCCTTGAGGATGCCGATCTTGTGATTGACCAGTTGCGACGCGAAAATGCTGCTTTCAAGGAGGCCAACACGAACTTGAAGGCGTATGGAGTTCAGCTTCGCAAGGAAAAAGAAGTGATGGAGCGCGGTGCATATGTGAACGGTGCATCGTTTGCTGCTGCCAACCAGCGTGCAATGAAGCTGCAGGACGAGAATGAGGCGCTGAAGAGCGAGCTTGCGCGCTACAAGACGGGTCATCGCAACCTGAAGGCGCAGCACGCTGGTGTGATGGAGAAGATTACGCTGATGCAGAGCTCGTTGAGTGAGGCGCTAGGCGAACGCCAGGCGCTCCGCCACACGGTAGACCACTTGAAGCAGCATACCGATCACCTGCAGGGTGAAAACATGGCGTTGGCAAAGGCGAACGCTCGTCTTCGTTTGATCTTGCGCCAAGACCCGGAACTGAGCCGTAAACATCGCGAAGAGGTTCCTCGTTTGACGAAGCTGGCACTGTCTTCGAAGCAGTCACAGCCCAAGGTGGTAGTGGCCAAGACGGCTGTCCTACCACCGTCCCAGGCGATTGAGCTCTCGGAGCCTGTCCCGGGCATGCGCATGTCGCTCTCAACGCCGCAGCCGCCTGCTCCTCCTGCGGAGTCTAGCCCAGCTACAAGTCAGCTATCGGCCACTCCGATCAAGCGCGCCAACACGTTATCGACGAAGAAGCTGTCTCACGAGAGCTCCAAGTCGTCTCGCGTTGTTAACATTCGTGACAACTCTACTGCTGGTCCGGAAGACGAACCTGCTGTTATAATGTCGCCTACGGACGAGGTGGTTGGCGAGCGTCTGTCGTTTGCCGAAGTCATCAAAGGCCGTGAGCGCCGTTCTTCGTCAGTATCGAGCACGGGTTCGTCTGGTGGAAATCCTGTCGCAACCGTTAGTGCTGGTGGTCCATCCAAAAGTACGGGTATTCGCCAGCCGACGGGTGAAGACGGACCCCTTGAAGCACCTGGGAAGGTCATGGGAATTGTCATGGAAGGTGAGCCTGAGGACAGCAGCGATCGCGTGAGCTTTAGCGTGACGCTTGGAGTGGACATTCTCGAGGATACAAAGCAACAGCTGCAGCTGCAGCAGCAGCAACAACAGCGTACATTTGTTCCTGGCACGGCAAGGGCGGCAAACGGCACGAGCAAGTCAAAGGGCCGCTCACGTCGCGGGTCGTATGACCGACTGGACACTTTCAGCAACGGCGAGACCAGGCGCAGCACTTCTTCACGACAGTCGTTTACGGGCAGCATCGAAGGTGGACGCTCGTCGTACGACCGCAATGAGTCGTACGGTGGAAACTCTTCGCTTCGGCAGTCGCTCACGGGCGGTAATCACCACAACGCTGGCAACCGTGGTCGCTCTCGTCGTGGGTCATACGACCGCAATAGCGGGCACAAGAGTCGGCAAACCAGCGACACGATGAGCAATGCAAGCAACGGCAGTGGTGGCAATGGTGGCAAGCGTATTGAACTTTGAGCTACGACACGATGGACGAGTCAGCCGAGCTGAGGTGATGGACACTCTTGATGACAATGGAAGAGGAGAGCCCAGCAGTACATGGTGCGTGGTGTATACATGTTTGGTCGATGCGCTGCCGCATTCAAATAGGAAAAAAATAGTTTACAACATGAAGAGAAAGAAGACATTAACATGAAATACAAAATGATTCTTGACACCATTGCAGCTTTGACAAATGTCCTTGAAAACCGGGTATGGACTCCATTCAGTGAAGTTCATTTGGGAGAATAGACGCCCCTGCACATGCCAAAGTGCAGCGTGCAAAGACACGTTTCTACCGGCGATACCTGTGGCGTTTAAAGTTGAAATAGAGGTGCAGAATTCCGCGCTCGAATACGCTCTTGAAGCCACGTTTGTGGGAGTATTCCCACTCGCAATTGACAATTTTGAAGGCGATGTCCTGATAAGGCGGTCCGGCCGAAAAGCGGATGATGCAGAACTCATCCGAGCTAGCCTTCTCCAATACGAAACGCGGGGCCGTCTGTTTGTCAATGAGATCGGGGTAGAACAGATTGAACTTGTAGCCCTGCACGACCTTGGGTGGCGGATTGTCATAGTCGTAGTGCGTCTGGTTGTATTTGTTCCACTCGTAACCCGTCTTGACGCGATTAAAGTAGCGCGGCTTGCGTGGCTGGTACTTCTCACTCCACCGTGGAACTGCTTCCGAGTCGCCCAGTGCCACCTCTTCGGATGCACCGAGACGCTCTTCCGCTTCGTCCAGACCCTTCCGAGCAAACGACTTTTCCATCTCACGCGCCTCACGTCCCGCGTCACGTCCATTCTCGTCCACCGCGCCGTGCGTCTCATCTTCAGCAGCGCGAGCCACTGCTTCTTCTACCAACCTTCTTTCGTGCTCTTCCATGAGATCGGCCAGTTTCGTCAGCATCTCTTCGTGCAACTGTGCAAGCCTCGCACGAGCTTGGTACACTTTAATCTGCTGTGCCACTTCCTCCCAGAAGTCAACATCGACACCCGTCGCTCCATTCAGTGCACTCGCGATCGTCTCGCTCACTTCACGTTGCAAAATCCTCAATTCTTGTGCATCTTTTCCCATCAACATATCATCAATTGTCTCTTGCACCGAATCATGGATCGCACCTCTATCCGCCCGCACGTCGTTCCGCTGCAATCGTCGAATCCGGTCGTCACACACGAGCCGCATGAGGTCCCAAAACTCGGCATTACGTCCACCATTGCCGCTTTCCTCGAGCTCTTTGTACGTGCGCACGTCATCCTGGAGCTCCCCCAGCTCGTGCATCGACAGCACTTCAACAATCGCATCCGGTCGTCGATGTTCGACACGGATGCGGCCAATCTCCTTGATAAAAAAAGCACTTTCCTCCTCAGCGTTGTTTCTCGCTGACACAAGAAGCAAGTTCTTGGCCAATAAGTCCACAGGTTTCTCTCGGTTCGCACGGATGCGCAACTGGCTCCGCACTTTGGTCTGCTGCAAGTGAAACTGCTCTTCTTTCTGCTGCCAATCTTCGTACTGTTCCGCGTCCTTGAGCCGCATTTCCTCGCTCTTGAGCCGCTCCCTCTCGTCCTTCTCGGCCTCGCGCTCGTCGCGGCGTTTCCGCGCTTTGCGGATCTCGTCCACACGGTGTCGCTGCGCCTTCTTCCGGTCTTTCCCTGACTTGGTGTTTGTATCGCCTGTACCCTTTTCGTGGTACTTTTTCGTCCAGACAAACGGGTGGCTCAAACTCGAATCGCCAAAGGGGTTCGACTCGTCCGAATAGCCCAAAGTCGCCAGCATCTTAGCCGATTTCTTGCGGACTTTGCGCTCGGCGCGCTCGTCTGGTTCGCTGTCTGTGTCGGGGGCGTGGCGGTGGTGCTGCCGCTTCTTCTTGGGCTTTGGCTCGGCGGCGGCGCCGCGGGAGCGACGGGAGCTGCTCGCGTGAGCCATTGAGGTTGGGGTTTTGTGGAGTGGGGATGTTGCGACGACATTCGTGCAACGTTGTGGTGAGGGGGGGGCGTGATTGGTTGAAAAGGAGCAGATGAAGACCTGATTGGGTGATTTGTCTGTTTGTCGCATCGGTTTTAAACGTGATCTGGTTGGGAAGATAATATAGACGCGATCAGGTTTGCGCATTTTTTATTGTTGGGTTGAGTATTTTAGGACCCTATTTTTGGTGCTCTCGACTCGATAGGGCGCTCGCTGGTCGGGCATTTAAAGTCATAGTTTCGATTTCTGGTGCTTTTCGTGTTCGATTTTGCAATCCGTGCCTAACATCTGGCAACTATACTTTGCGTTGCTGACGACACTGACGCGACACTTTCTATTTGTCGAACAAGTGTTCAGTGGCTATCGAATACCATACAACAGTTTACTGCGTGACCGAGTTTTGGCACTCGATGTATTGGAATCGTATATTAGTATACATTTGCATGATTACTGTTGAAATGATCCGATATTATGGCTGATGTGATGGTGCGCCTGATTTTATAAAGCACAATGTTTTTTTTGGCCTCAACGGGCGTGCAACGGCCCACACGTTATAGTACCCAATATAGTGCATGGTGCCAGTCCTTTCAGTTTACTACAGCCTACATTTTTGGGAGGAAGCATTCAGCGCTCCAAATACGTGGCCAGATGTGTTGCTGATAGTCGTTTGTGCAGGGCACACTTTGCTGATAACATTGGAGGTTCTCGGCGCACGTTTGTACGAATCTTACTCAGCCCTAAGTTCAATCGGTCTTCAACAGACTTGCAGAGGGCAATCACCAGAAGATCGTTTCCTGATAGATTTACCGGCATTGCAGATCTTGTCGAACGGTCTGTGGGCGTGAAAGCGCGTTGTAAACGCAGCTTGAGCTTTTGCACACTGACCTTGGCCATTAGTCGAATGACACGTCCTTCATATTTTCGGCGCTGTCTTCGACAATCACTAGCTCGTCAAACGAGTTATGACTTTCTGCGAACTCGCTTCCAGGTCGCAGCAGTAGTTTGAAACTTGGCCGGCTTTATAATCATCACAGCCAACATACCTATAACTCCGTTCATTGATGCTAAGCGAATCTCAGTGGTGTCGCTGTACTAACATATTGTGTTGGCTTGCATGTTGAGGATGCCCTCTTGAATCGGGAACACGTGTCATCCTCGATCACTGTACAAGTCATCTTTTTTTCTGTGAGAGTGCCAAAAAAAAATTCAAGCAAGCGTTTGATCGATAGCGGAGGAACGCGCAGCACAAGCGCTTTTCCCATAACCAAATTTACGATGATGAGCCGCAAGTGGCTGTAAATTGGAGGTGTGCTGATGAATTTATCTGGTATCGCGCTCTTACATTGGCAAGGTGAATCCCAAATGAGTGCCGACTTAGTGTGGATGTTTCGTAACGTGATGTCCCTGCTGGAACTTACTCCGCCGAGCTGTGCCGCTAGTATCTTGAACATCTAAGAGCAACACGCAACAAATGTTGCAACATTGAGTGGTAACACGCAGCATTGGCCGATTGCGTACGGATAAAATAAAGCCACGAGAAAAACGTGCTCAGGATAAAGGAGCATGGGTGAACAACGAAGTCCTGTATGTAACTCACTCTTTCTGAGGTGACATTCTACATCCACCTCCATTAGCGCGAACAAAGCTTACTGACCGACGCCATCGCGTCAAGCACTTTATGTTAATGAGTGTAACCTGCGTGTCAGTCGAGATCACCATATCCATAGCGAGGACTATGACAATTATTCAACGGGCTCAAGGGGCCTCATCGCGCATCTTATAAATTCCATCGCTTGTCAGCGCTAGTGACGCACGTAAATCGGGCTAGTACTACTCGTCCATGTTCCATCTTCTCTTTCGCAGCAACACTTAGTCATTAGATACTCCAATCAGGTCTGCGGCGATGCAGCAGTCGACGGCAGCTTCTCGACTGGTGTGGGTGCTGGCGAGTTCGAAAAGTACGGGTGCTGCAACGCTTCGGCCGCCGTGATCCGCTCAGCAGGATTGTGCTTCAGCAACTTGCTCAGCAGGTCCAAAACATCCTCTGACGCTGCGGAGAATATAGAGGCCAGTGGAGGAGCTGCGCTCGGTGTGAACTCAACAAAGTTGGCCAGTGAGGTCACACCAGGCCACACTTCCTCGGTCGGTGTACCGAGCGCGTGGAATATCTTGCCGAGCTGGTCAAGCTCGTTGATCCCTGTAAGATACGGCGTTCGCAACATAAGCTCGGCGAGAATGCAGCCAGCACCCCACATATCAACAGATCCACTGTATTCCCTCGCTCCAAAGAGCAGCTCAGGTGGACGGTACCAAATCGTACACACCATTGACGTCATGTTGCGATTTGGACTGCCATAGACTCGTGCGAGACCAAAATCTCCAATTTTAATGCGTCCATCGGGCCCAATGAGCAAGTTCTCAGGCTTGAGATCCCGATGTAGCACGTAATGCTCGTGGCAATAGGCAAGACCTTGGAGCATCATCTGCATGTACGACTTGATATCAGCTGCCGTGAGGACGACTGCTTTGTCTTTAATGACATCATCCAAATTGCTTGGCAAAAGCTCATACACGACGTTCATAGTGTCATGTGCAACAAAAACATCCAGGAGCTCCATCACGTTCTCATGCTTGAGCTCGGCCTGCAGCTTCACCTCCCGCACCGCCGTAAAGTTCACCCCGTCTTTGAATTTCCCGCGCTTGAACTGCTTAATGGCTACATTTCGACCTGTGCTTCGCTGCACGGCTGCGTACACGATACCGAACGTACCCTCACCTAAAACGTCGCCTCGATCGTAACGGTCCATGGTGAAAATGAAGGGCGATTGCGTGTTTAGTGACGTGTCAGTAGCAGATTCAGGTAGAGTAATAGAGTGAGTACAGATTAGAGCGCGCTAAACAGCATTTCGGCAGACCAGCGGTTTTGAGTCATGTGTGTGTATAAAAGATCAAATAGGTAACGGCACTTATGGACAGTCGCACAAGACGTAAAACCGTTGTGGTGACAAGAGCCGGATATAAGGACGGCTGGGCACTTCACGATCGGGTAAAAGAACGTGCTTCTATTGCTAAAAGGCAGTCGTAGACTTATGGACAACTTTTGGTCCGACAGCAGCGACATACCTCATCGTCTACTCTACTTTTTGTTCATCACTAGTTGACTTGTTCCATACTACATGTTGTTAATCTTTAGCATCAACTACTACATCTACGGACTTCACGTCCTGTGCAGAATGTAACTACCATGCAGCATAGATCGCAGAGGTTCACGACGCATTCGACAACGATAATCTTGGTTATTGTATCGGACATGCTGTCGAAAAGAGCATTGGGTGATCAACTGTGATCGCAACGGTGAGCTTGTCATAACTATTCACCCGTCCAGCATCGTGGGTGTCCATCGAGGTCATGATGACACTTGCGTTCACTGATATCTGCCTGAAGGGTCTCATCGACAAGGTGCACACGGTAGCGTCCATGGAAGCCAGGTTCGCCACTTTTTCGCTTAGCACGTGACTGCAGGCCTGCTGTACTGCAGATATCGTGCGAAAAAATACAGACGGAGGGCGATCAATAGGAGACAAGCATATCATCCTATTCATAGGCCGGTACCAACAGCGAGATGCTCTCACAACCTCAAAGACGTCTTTCAAGATGCGATCGATGTACTTGTATCCAGCGTGTATTGTGTAGGATCTCGAATGCGGGCGCTGCCGCCTTACGCAAACGACCACAGACTCATTCTGATGTACGTGAAATGTACGTTGCGCAATCAAGTTGAGACGAGTATACAGGAGACTGTGTTCTTGAGGTTTTAGCAATTCCCTTGCGTAGTGCTGAGAGCGAGATCAAATGCCGTAATCGACCCCGAACCATTTGATAGACGGAAGAATGATCTACTTCGTCGGTCTTACTGCTACGTCTACCAATGCTCGAAGTGGCAATCGATTGCCGTTTCGTCGAGGAATTCATCGGAGCATGTCACAACTCATGTCCTCGATTGTAAAAATCAATCGGACTCTTTCAATCTCTCTACATTGCACTGACCGGAACGGGTGTTCGTGCACTGCTTCGACTGAGGTTGCTGCTTCAGATTTATCCTGTACGGCAAGACTGAATGCATGACTGACTCCTTTGTGAGGCCAGCACTTCGTATGTGGTCGGTTCAGACGCTTCATCACGTTTACACGACAAAGAAGCATGAGTGGCATCTGCGTGGCACTGGCGACGAGATCTCTGTAGTGGTACATCGAAGACGCGGAGGGGATGATCGCAGCAAACTCAGCTGGCGATTCAAGTGTCTGAAACCGAATGGGTACTTGAAACAGTCCGTTTCCCACTGACTGTCATTCAAACGCTGGCGATCACGCTATGGAGTGTACCATCGTCGAGCTAGCAGGAGTACAAATGGAGGCCAAGTTCTATAGTTTGCACACTACAAGCTGCGGACAGTTAATGTTAACAGTACATTTTGTGACAAGAAGCTGGTCATACGACATGCTGCCCTCGATCTTCTAATGACATCAAGTGATAGGACATGGACCAGCATTGATGCAGCCTTTGCATCGAAGTCCGCATGTGAAACGGAAGCTCATCAGGTACGATCCCATCTCAACTCTAATTCAGTGGATAAGATGCGATGAAACCGGAGCACACTGTCAAACAAAAGTCGAGACATTTTTGTCTTGGCAAACCCGAAACGACCGGTCACTCGCGCACTCCATCGTTGCAAGCTGCTTACAAACATCAAGACAAGTTAACGGCCAGGACCGCCCACATCCCAAAAACGCACGCACATACATACATCAAGATCACACCTTTCGCTCCGACTCCTCGCAGTCAGTCATTTTCCAATTTGCTGACGTCCAGTCAATTGAGTCAGCGGAAGTACTGACATTCACTGGCATCGACGCCAATACTTCTTGGCGAAATATGGTGCCCACCGTTTACGGCACGAGCTCCTTGGCTTCGGACGAGCGACTGACTAATCAGACTTTTACTAGTCGTCGTACCTATGTCAAGTGGGTACTCGTTGGACTGGCGGCATGCGGGATCTGCAGTGCTGTAGCCGTCATGGGGACTCGTAGTGGTTCCCTATCGTTCAATGTAGCAGCTGCAGTGCTTCGCTCAACGATTCAGAAAGCACCGAGTAGCTCTGGGAACACGGCCACGGTAGGGGATATGGATGCGGTGACATGTTTCCAGAGTTCCTACGTTGACAATGTCACCCGCATGATGGAACCGATTACTGGCTTAAAGTGGACACGCGGCAGAAAGATGGATTCCTCGTCGTTCATTTCAGTGGATCTAGACGTCAAGTACCAAGAGCTCATGGGCTTTGGAGGAGCGTTTACAGAAGCAGCAGCACTGCAGTTTGAGAAACTACCGTTTCAGAAACAGGAAGAGATCTTGACGCTGTATTTCGACCAGGAGAAGGGCAGTGCGTACACTTTCGGCCGCGTTCCAATGGGATCGTGCGACTTTTCCGTCTCCTCGTACAACTTTGATGACGTACTGGACGACGAACAATTGCTGCACTTTGACATGAGCGTCAAACACGATCAGCACGTGTTGATTCCACTCATCAAGCGTGCGCTAGCACGGCAGCCAGAAATGAAGTTGTTCCTGGCACCGTGGAGTCCTCCTTCCTGGATGAAGCTAGGTGGCGACGCGTACGTTCCTAGTATGCTCGGGTCGATGACTCCTGCAGGCTTGAAAGCTGACATGCGAGCAAGTTGGGCATTGTATTTCTCGAAGTTTATCACTGCGTACAAGGAGCAAGGTATCCCGTTCTGGGGTCTAACTCCACAGAACGAGCCCGAGTTTGCTGCACCATGGGAGGCTTGCAAGTATAATGCGTCATATCAAGCTGACTTCATTGGCGATTTCCTTGGCCCTGTCTTGAGCCGCGACCATCCCGAGATTACTCTTATGATCTTTGACCACAATCGCGACACTGTTCATCATTGGGCTGAGACAATTTACAACCACCCCACCGCTTCCAAGTATGTGGATGGAATAGCCTTCCATTGGTATGACATGGAGCGTTTCATGGACGGCGTTGCTTACCACGAGCACCTGAATGACACGCACTTTGTCGACCAGAATCGCTTCATGTTGGCTTCAGAGAGTTGCAACTGCCCCGGTGTTGCTCATGGCAATGAAGCGTGGTTCCGAGCGCAACGCTATGGTCATGACATTATAATGGACTTGAACAACTACGTTGCTGGATGGGTGGACTGGAACCTGTTGCTTGACCACACGGGTGGACCAAACCACAAGGGTAACAATTGCGACGCCCCCATCATCTTGACAAAGGACGGCAAGGACTTTAGTATCCAGCCTATGTACTATTTCATCCAGCACTTTTCCAAGTATATTCCGGTTGGCTCTCGCCGCGTCAAGACTGAAGTATCAGTCCGCTTTTCTGAGCCCGGTGATGCACAGCTCATGTGGGCATACCCGACCGCACTTGGAACGTGCGATGGCAGCTCACGCCAAACGATCCACAGAACCGATGATAACAAGATGCAAGTGACGGGATCGGACTTCTGTTTGGGTATGATCGATGACGAGAAGCAAGGCAAAGAGATCCAAATGGTGGAATGCCGGTACACACAGCAATCGTGGACGTTCGAAGAGGAAACGGGACGCATTCGTGTGGGCAATTTCTGCTTGTCTCTCAACCACGGCTCCACCGCTAACGGCACGCGGGTCGTCGCGGTCCCCTGTAAAGGCCATGCTGATCCCCACCAGCAGTGGCTATTCAATAAGGAAGACGGCACTCTGCGCTCGCAAGCATCAACGACTGACCAGTGTGCGACTGGAGGGTACTCGTTCGTGCAAGCCACTTCGTTCGTAACCCCTGAGGGTCACAAGGTGCTGGTCGTGATGAATGAAAACACAGAGTCAGCCGGCTTTGAGATTCAAGTTGGTGACATGACGCTGGAGACGACGATCCCGAAGGGCGCCATTCGCACCTTTACCTGGATCTAAATACAACTTACTCCGGCACATCGAAACCGCTAAACTGAACAGAAATGATGTGCATAGGCTGACGTTCTCCTAGTTACGGCTTTTCAGACTGTCCTCACACTGTATTTGAAGACGGTCAAGCGCAGCGTCTCGATCCATAGTACCACAGAAGACTTGAGCTAAATGTAAAGGAACAGGTTATCGATTTCGAACAAGCGAGCACACGGCCCGTGACCTTCATATACATGCTTAGACATCAAGACTCGCGCTACCAGAGCTACCGGATGTATGATCAGGCCTTTCCGTGTCCAATTTTGTCGGTAAACACTCTTTAGAACACCATGACTTCCTTATCGACTATAGTAGGCTCCCAAAATTATCTAAAAAGCACATCGATGTGTGCGCTTTTAGGTGTCCTCATTGAAGAAAAAATGCACTGGCGGCTATATGCGCCAAACAACATGTATTCATCTTGGTGATCTACAAAGACGTCCGAGTACTACATATAGTGAGTGTGACAACTCAAATTAGAGATCTTTAAAAAGCTCTTGCTTGGATTGTGATGGGACCTCTCGTGCGACATTTGAAGTACGGAGTAAAAGGACACGTCTTGCTTCGGTGGTAAAGCAAACGTCGACATTTAAGTAAAACCAATCGACTTGGATGTCGCTTTGCTACCCAATAGCGCATCTAGCTTACGTGTATTTCCTGTTTTAGATTGTAGAGCGCTATTGTTGTCGCTCACGGTGCGCAATGCATGAGGAGCACCAAAGGTACGCGGCTATTGATACAAGTAGTATCATCGAGCCGTTTTATAGCGGAAGAGTTCTCTGACCTCGCTGTGCGCATCGTCATGCAAAGTGCAAGGTCCCATAAAACTTGAACAAACTGATGCACAAGTACAGAGACTATCGCAGTGGCCGTGTAGCGAAACTTCAGTCTGGCTATGATTGCTGGATCAGTGTGTGTGCAATGTGAACGTATTCACACGACTCATGATCCCATTGTGATGGCAGTACCGGACCATGCAAATGAAAATGTATAATGCATGTCGTATGTGGCACAACGTTTTTACGTCGTGCACGTCGGCGCAGACATGAGTTCGCTCGCTGACATATACACATCTACGCCTTTATGCACCAGGGGTTTGGATGGGCGGTGTAAAAATGCTTGGAATACAGTGTAGAAGCATTATAGCCCAAGTTTAAATAAATTGTTGGAGGTATCGGTAATAGAATAGTTGTAATTGAAGTTGGTGTCCGTTCCAGAAATTTCTGGACGTAATCACGCAAGTTAATTTACCCCATGTATCCTCTCATTAATTTGTCGGAATCTGTAAACCAGCGATGCCACCAATTTACTTTATAGGCGAGTTTTGCAATTTTTTTATAGGAAATCCGACAGCCTACGATCTTTCGAAATTGAGGTTAATAAGGGTTAAATCTCCGACAATTTTGTAAATTTCTAACAATTTGTCCTGCCGCCGACCCCTACAACTGCAAGGAATTCAACCTTGCTTATTCTATCGTCACTATATTAGTAAAATTGGTAGCTTCTATCCGAACTTGTTACTATGTCGCAAACGACCTTCTTACTTTGCAACTTCGGGAAATAGCAGCCGAAAGACGAAGACCTCTACAGAGCCGGGCGATTGTACCACTTTTCTTGGTGGGATGTCCCCTACCGTTGGGCCTCGTGAAACGGGGTGAGCCTGTTACACCAGGCCTTGATACTTGTTTATTAGAATACCATCATAAAGGCTGATAATGCTCGTGAATATTACAATAAGGGGGAAATTTGAAACAGTCACCGATGGATTGGTATATGTCATCATATCAGCCAGATCTATCGGTCTTATCAACGATGGGCGCGCGCAACGAGTGGTGAGCAAGACGTTATTGTAGATACATTTAATTAGTAAGAAATAAAAAAAGGACAATGTTTATGACTTGATTTCATTTTACACACTTTTAGTTTTACCAGCAACTCGTCAGTTCCTAGTTGCTTTCCCTTCCTCTGCCTAGTTTACAAAGGTTGTGAGGCACCATTCACGCTGCTGTCGGTATTTTTGGATATACAATGGCTGTCCAATGTGTTGTTCCGGTGCCCTGTTACATGCACTCGGTGAAACGGAAGCTGCTGCGTTGATCGAGATGGCGCAGTGCAGCAGCGCAACAGCAACAGCAATATGTGATATCGTGGGTAAGCATGTCGCATACATCGAGAGCAGGCGTGTGAAAAAAGCGGTGATGCTGTCGTTGTTCACTAAAATAAAAGTTTTTGGTTGTAGGACTGTGCGTATATGTATGCCTTAGATGTCATTTTACCTGGCTTCGTGATATTCACATCAGACCTGTTTTCTAGCTTGAAAGTACAAGGCGTGTTATTTTTGGCGAGAGCCTCAAGTAGCGATGTTAATGACTAGTTCTGAATGCCCCCTGTAATGTTGCACGTGCTTTTAGGGCTAACCTAATCTTCCGGCAGGCCTTGCGGTGGATGATCGGCTCATTTACGGTTCGTGTCTTCACTTCTCGCGCTTGGGGTCTGTGACATTCCAGACCACTGCGTCAAGTCGTAGCACGGTCCATAATTTCGTTGGACCAGTGTCGGTTAAGCACTTGTTCTATCTGTGCACAGTCATGAATTTTGAGGGATCTGTGTCGGGCAAAACAATTAATCTTACCGTCCTCGAGTTTTCCTTTATACAATGGCGCACGTAGAAATCGGCAAATAAGTTCAAGGGCATGTTGCACTATGTGGACAGTTGAATGATCAGCAATGTAAAATTTGACGGTTATGACGTGGAAAACACAATGTCACTTAGATACAGCACGCACGCGTAGATCTACACCAGAGACGTAAACAGAATTAGTTTGCATACAATCTCATAAAAGCTGACATTAGATTCGCACAAACAGTTTCAGACTAAGATCTCTAAATGCCCACTAACAAAACTGACCCAATACCTTTACTCTACATCCTTTGGCTGCGTGTCTTGGCGAACGCACTTCCACTTCCCTTGATACTTGTATTGGCCCGCATGCGTGCACTTGAGATGCTTAGAGTAGCACTGCCACAACTGGTACAACCGGTACGCTTTTGCATCGACACACAAGCGTACCGGTTGAATAGGATACAAACATCCTTGTGTCGATACGAAAGGATGCAATTATCCGAAATTACTATCGGAACGCTACCGGTAGTAAGTACATCATCGGTATGGGCTCATGCTTTAACCTGTAGGGTCGTACTGAAGGCGTAGATCTCCGTACTGACAAAATGGTTGGAACACTACTTTCCATACACTGACTAGTTTAATCCATATTTGGTCAGTGGTACGTAGCGTTAATATCGCTTAGAACAGTCTACTCAAAGTTCACCTTACGTTTAGGATTATCTTCCTCTGCTTAAACGGTGCTTGTCCCTTTTGTAGAAAGGCAAAACCCATACAAACGCAGCTTTTATAGCATTACTCGCTACTGCACCGCAAAATGGGCTTAGTCTGCGCAGTTTCCATCCAATTTTGGTCGCGCATTCACTTGGTAACCGCTAGATGAAAAATCATCATTTTAAAATTTAGATCCTTCGGAAGAATTTACACTGACGGCCATTACGAAGCGTCTATAACGCACAAGCTATCATGCTCGAGGGGTTAAGCAGAAATCCAAAGAGCATTCTATCTGTGCCGGGACGCTTGTCGCCTATAACAATTTGCACTTTCTGTTCAAGAATGACACTTCTTTAAATAAAATCACGCTTAGGTGATGCTGTAAATGGTCTACTTTCGTATTTTTTGCGAGTTCGGACAGCGGTGCCACTAGTCAACGTGCGTAAGTTGAATACTGAACCATCAAGACCTACTTGCTGTCTGCCTGTGCGCGTACGTTGTGTGTCAGTAAGTCACACCAGGCGTACCTAAACGTCGTGGTAAGTGCAATATAGCATTTTCCCTTCTCATAGGTCGATAGGAATGATATGTGTCACTTTTTGATCCGGTCAACAAATGCGTATGCATAGTGTGTAATGTTCAAACAAGCACTGATGCCCCCCACGTGATTGTGATAAAGTGACACAGGACAAACAGAGGGATAACAAGCAAATGCTAGACACCAAGGGACAGCGAAAATCTCGCACCTTTCGTAAATAGCTAGAGCGAAGTGGTTATGTACTGAATGGCTCGATACACCCAAACAGTAAGAGGTTATGCTAACATTTTTTTCTCGATAGCAGACCGAGCTCTCTCGATACAATTTCTGATCATCATCAGTTTATCATGTTTCGTAAGCTGCACTTTCTTGTTTACGGCGTTTTCAAGCAGGATCCTCCTCGTTTCTCTTTTCTTCCTTTCGACTCGTTAGAACGTCAACAACGTGACCAAGTAAATTTAACACACAACGGTCTACAAGCCTAATTGTTGAAAAACGCACAAACCACAACCCATTCGATCGCTGCCAACTTTCCCCCCAAATGGATACGTGAATATACATGATTTGGTCAAGTTCCTTGGACAAAATTACATCCAGGCGCGTGCTCCAGAGCTTCCTCCCATATCTCTAGAGAACCTAGTACGCGAAACTCGTTAATAGCTGGCATGTCGGCACCTACAGTCGTCATACCTTTTACCAACTTTGTGGTTGGACTCTGAACCGTTAACGGATAGAGCACTTAATCATCGGTAAGGTCATTTGAACTCGTCCTAGTACTTTGTACAAATTTCGTAGTCCTCATGTACGCAACGTGACATATCCGCTTATACCAACCGACGCGTGACCTCGTTTTGTACACCAGGCTGTACCCAAGAAGTGTTATTCGTACGGTCAAGATGGCTTACCTGCTGCGCTATTGCAGCAAATACCTACGTTTCCAAACTCGCAAGTCATTTATCAGCAGTAGTGCATTCACTTGCACGTGGCACGGATTATGAGAAAGAAGTAAAACACGACAGCTTAACGAACAGCGCAGAATACAGGGATTATTTATGTCGTGTAAGGACACAAGTCGCACGTTGCAGTAAGATCAAG